TTGTAGCAACGTCTATTTCCAAATAAAATCCAACAACCTTATGATCTATAGTCATGTTTGATAATTTAACAATATGTCGCACCAATCTATTACGCAACTGATCAAATTTCCATCAATAAGATCTGCTGCTCATGATGAGCCCAATTATAAAGCTAGATGTTACAAAATAAAAAAGTTATGCAGTTTCACACACATAAACGTTTAGTATGTTATGTACATTTTTAGTTGTTTCGCATCTTTACGGAAGTGATAGACATATTTCCGGTTTGTGTACACCAACATACTTTGGATATCATTTGGCACATTATGTTGACCGACGATAGTAGAAATTTCGAAAAAATCGGTATGCGGTAAATGTGTCATCTTAAGGATAATATNGCACAACGCACCAAAAATAGCGTGTGCACACCGTGCATACATCGTTCACACACCGTCCGCACATCGTCCACACATGGTGCGCACAACTGTGCGATTTAACAATCGTTCACCCCGTTGTGCGCTTCTCTCCGCACAACTGTGCGATTGGGTACAATTTGTAGATCAATATTAAAGAATGAAAAAAATACGGAAAACTCGTATGCAATAATGAAACTTGTATTATTGTAATTTCTCATCACAGTAATGAAGATTATGTACAGTTTTACAATGCGTGTAACACAGCATTACAGTGACCGTTAGACTGTCAAGAATGGGTTTCGCGCCAAGGTAACAGAATATGTAAATAACAATTTGATGAGTTATCGGGGTTTGAACTGGCCTGTACCTGACATATAGAGCTGATATGCGATACCGTATGACCGTAATGAAAACACAGCTGGACGTTTAGTATTTGTTATTTGCATTCGGTTTGCCCTCCCCTTCACCTGTGTTTTCACACCCCTGGCCCTACGAAATACGTAAGCGCCCCGGGCGGGGGAAAACTACCGTCCAGGTACCTGTAGACGGCTAGTGGCTATGTTTACCTGTATACGGGACTGTGTTGTGTGATTTCACAGGTGTCGATTAAGGTCGTTTAAAACATACCGAAAACACAAATTCTAAATTTAAGAAAGTATAGATATAAAGATAAGTGTATAGGTGTAGATAGAATATAGAAACATACGTAAAAATCAAGGTTTATATGTTTAAACACGAAACCGTATATATTGTTAAGGCATTCCTCAATTTACACCAACCACGCTTGTTATCGCACAACGTTCGTCCATCGTGCACACAAATGTGCGCAAGATATGATCTCTCACATTTTTATCGTTCGCACATCGTGCACACATTGTTCACACACCGTGCACACATCGTGCGCACACCGCACATCGTGTAACGTTGTGCGATCCCACAACTGTAACCAGTACAGGTAAGTGTGTTTAACCAGTACAGGTAAGTGTGTATAATCAGTACAGGTAAGTGTATATAACCAGTACAGGTAAGTGTGTGTAACCAGTACATGTAAGTGTATATAACCAGTACAGGTAAGTGTGTATAACCAGTACATGTAAGTGTATATAACCAGTACATGTAAGTGTGTATAACCAGTATAGGTAAGTGTGTGTATAACCAGTACAGGTAAGTGTATATAACCAGTACAGGTAAGTGTATGTAACCAGTAAAGGTAAGTGTATATAACCAGTACATGTAAGTGTATGTAACCAGTACAGGTAAGTGTATATAACCAGTACAGGTAAGTGTGTGTAACCAGTACATGTAAGTGTATATAACCAGTACAGGTAAGTGTGTATAACCAGTACATGTAAGTGTATATAACCAGTACATGTAAGTGTGTATAACCAGTATAGGTAAGTGTGTGTATAACCAGTACAGGTAAGTGTATATAACCAGTACAGGTAAGTGTATGTAACCAGTACAGGTAAGTGTGTGTAACCAGTACAGGTAAGTGTGTATAACCAGTACAGGTAAGTGTATATAACCAGTACAAGTAAGTGTGTATCACCTGTTTGCAAAGGCCTATATAAGGAAGCAACACCTGGTAGTCCTGACAGGAAATACATGACATCTCAATGAAACATCCATACCCTGTGTTATAGAAAGGATTGGTACCAGTAAAGACAGATAAAATCAGAAGATATTGATTAGATTCAATTAAGATAATAGGATCAAAGGAATTTGAGGTTAGCCATCCTGTCACCAATCAAGGTCACGTTTCATTAGATCCAACATAGCAAAGGTCAAGGTTACCTTCATGGTACTAAGAGCAGATACACAGACATTTGTTACACAGATGTTACAATGGAACACAAAGAAGCTTGATATTGTCAGTGAGCACATATTACACTTTCAATTTCAACATGTCAGAATTACACTTAGTCCTTAAAATCAATAATTAAAATCAATCAGAAACTGTCATAGCAGTAAACTCTCAAAATTGGAATGGAGTGTTTGGATTGCAGAAATAATTGATATGAATCAAATGGTAAAATCATTACCAGTTTTAAATTAGAAAAAAAACCCAATGTGATTAGATTCTCAACCCCCCTCCCCCACCTCTCCCTTATCCCCAAAAAACCTCACCATTTAAAATGAGATTTCTCCCTCTATGCTAAAATGATCAATGGAAATTTCTTGCCTTCTGAAATAAAATTGTGTGGTGTGATTTCTGTCCCTCTGTATGTCCTTGGCTGACAAAAAATGCTAAGTGGTTAGCAAGTTCATCCATGAAGTCACTGACCAGTAGTCAAAATTACAGATGGGACATCTATGAATAGGTAGTTATAAGTGCTGGGAGCTGGCTGACGATGATTTCCGTGTTCAGATGAGGATAATGAGGACGGACTAGTGCCACTATGCTGCAGCCTCCACAAGCCTGTGGTAATGAGCCACATTAACACAAAAACTCAATTAAGCTAGTGATTCCATTAAAGCTGTCCTAGTTGATTGAGTCGGGGCTTGTCAAACACAGACACATTTCCTTATCAAATCACACACAAATTGGCCGCATAATTGACAGGATGGGAGAATGTAACATATTTGGGAGTCCATCCTGACGGTACCAAACTCATTAGGTAATCTGGTAACAGGTTTTACATGTTATTTTACACTTCTAATTCCCTGCCCAGGATAAATTCTCATTGCCTTCTTCTTTTCATACTAATATATTCTAGGTATTCGAATAATTGCAAAGCTTATAAACGATGCTTCATCATAAAACACTACAGTTCTATCATATCACAGGGAAACTATGAATATTCTCAAGTTGATATGAAAAGATTTGGTTGGAGATATATTGCCACTTATTCCACAACATTTTGTGTAACTTTCCCCTCTGATGTAAACTAAAACATCACATTGTGATACTGAGTGTTAATTAACACCATAACAATGAAATATAAGGTCATATTTTTGTGTTTAACTTTTTCTGAATCTTTTTTATGCTGAGGAATTTTTCAATATACATTTGTATATAGAATACTTAGCTGACTTAAATGTTACATCTGTATATAGAAAATTTAGCTGACTAATTGTACATCTGTATATAGAAAATTTAGTTGACTTATTGTACATCCTGTATATAGGATATTTAGTTGACTTATTGTACATCTGTATATAGGATATTTAGTTGACTTATTGTACATCCTGTATATAGGATATTTAGTTGACTTATTGTACATCTGTATATAGGATATTTATATATAATTAGTTGACTTATTGTACATCTGTATATAGGATATTTAGTTGACTTATTGTACATCGGTATATATGATATTTAGTTGACTTATTGTACATCTGTATATAGAATATTTAGTTGACTTATTGTACATCTGTATATATGATATTTAGTTGACTTATTGTACATCTGTATATAGGATATTTAGTTGATTTATTGTACATCTGTATATAGAATATTTAGCTGACTGTTGTTTAATTACTGTACATTTGTATACAAGATATCTAATTAACTTACTGTATATTTGTATATATATAGGATGTTTAAATATCCAGTCAATTAATATTGTAATAAAGAAAGTGACAAATACTTTACTGTTAATTTTATAACTCAAATTGTAAATTTTATGTCCAAATTAATGACTGAAATTTCATTCTGGCATTAGTACATGTATATTTGATACAGATATGTTTTATCTGAAGTAAAAACTTTTATCACATGGCTAATTATAAGTATATGTATATAAAGTTTCTTGATTTCCTTTAATTTAAGAGTGATACTTGGGACAACTTTCATTTCTCCCATGAGGTCTGTAAAATGTATACATCATAACTCAATACAGAGGACCTACTACCCTGAACAGTCCAAGGACGATCTGTAGTTATTGTAGTCGCTGATCAGGCAATCACTTATATTAAGGAGTTGAACATGTAACTTATATCTGTATTACGAAAAAAAATAGAAATATTAATTTTTGGTAATTAATTTCTACACCAGAGAAATCACCTGCCTATATAATAATGGAGTAAATTTGACACTGTCCTGATTTAAACGTCTCTTTATACAGCAATATCACCTAACAAAAGCTCAGTGAAAAAACATTTAAATGTCTTTATAGTTAGGGAGAGAAGCATAATAACACCCCAAAAAGGTAAAGTACATCCCAACCAATACCTGTGTTAAAAACAGGAAGTCTGAAATATAATACAAATAATTACTGGTAATCACAGATCAGATCTGGCAGGGTAATTACATGAAATATAATATTCAATCGGTATAGTTGGGGATTAGGTGTAGCTGGTATTATTATACGTGAACACAGACTTTTTACTATAGAGATAATGTATTGGCTTCATATAGGGAATAACATGGGTAAACCAAACTGTGATCATGAAAAACAAATAAAACTAATGATATCCTAATGGTCTGGTCACATGTGTACTGTAGATAACCGGCTGCATTTTTCACATAGCCGATTGGGCGTCAGTGAGAGCTGGGAGGTGGCCGTTATGTGAGTGACAGGTGAAATGTCTGTTACAGCAGTTCAATACTGATGAGGAGGGACCAGAGGTGTGCTGTACGGCCCTAACGATCAGGTACGATAATGGAGTGACAGTCATATCTGTATTCCACAGTTACACATGTAAACAAATTTCAGGAATATAGTGTCGGCCATCAAAGTATACTACATGTCTACAGGATAAACAAACTGTAGGAATATTGTATCTGCTGTCAGCTATCATAGTATACTACATGTATACAGATATCAGTCTATAGATGAAATTCTGGATCTTGTCAAAGAGATGTGGAATGTTGGTTAAACGGATGATCTTGTGTTGTGTTGTCGGTGGAATATGATATTGTTTTGAGGGAGAAACTGGATCTCTAGAAGACTAAGGACGATGCTCACTACACCATGTACATCTACTGTGGCCGACACACAGGTAAGGCGGCCCACAACACACTGTAGATTTCAGACCTTCAGACAGCACACATATATTTTACTGAATCTACAGAAATGCAATAAAGTGTCTGGACTATTTGAAGTAGGCCTATATGGAATGTTAATGTATAACTATAGAGAACATTTATCACCGAGTCATCCATTCATGTAATACAACAACTGTACCAGGAACAAAACAATGGACAAATATATAGCGTGAATCATCATCCATGTAAAATACATACGCACAGGACAGATAAAAAATGTTTCTCAGCTGTAACCAATTTTTTGTCCAATAAAATTTGTTGAAACTGAAAATATAAACATAGCTGTAACGAGTAAAATTTAAGCACACACAGGACATATAAAAACTAGTGTTTCTCAGCTGTAACCAGTAACATATAAACACACACAGGGCAGATACAAACTAGTGTTTATCAGCTGTAACCAGTAAAACATAGACACACAGGACAGATAAAAACTACAGTTTCTCAGTTGTAACCAGTAAAATATAAACACCAACAGGACAAATAAAAACTAGTGTTTTTTCGGTTGTAACCAGTAAAATATAAACACCAACAGGACAAATAAAAACTAGTGTTTTTTCGGTTGTACCCAGTAAAATATAAACCCCAACAGGACAGATAAAAACTAGTGTTTCTCAGTTGTAACCAGTAACATATAAACACACACAGGACAGATAAAAACTAGTGTTTCTCAGTTGTAACCAGTAACATATAAACACACATCGGACAGATAAAAACTAGTGTTTCTCAGTTGTAACCAGTAAAATATAAACACCAACAGGACAGATAAAAACTAGTGTTTCTCAGCTGTAACCAGTAAAACATAGACACCAACGGGACAAATAAAAACTTGTGTTTCTCACTTGTAACTTTCAGTAGGACACACATGGAGAGAAAATATCTGGTTCAAATGTTCATCAAGAGAAGAAAAATTCATTATGATATACCTCCTTTAACAAATGGGATTTAGATGTGATGTCATATGGTTGTGCAATACAAGAAGATTGCTTTCCTTTGCAGAAACGTTAGAAACATGCTATATTTTTGAACATCGTATATAAGAACAAAGGCAGACTTTTTACATATTCATTTCCATAAAGTCTTCACATGAAAGATTTCTATATGCGAAACATAGTGGTAACATCCTTAGCAACCGGAACACCAGGTGTCTTGACTACATAACTCGCGTTTGTCTGACGTGGTAATCATAACATCTGACACTTACACCTACAACTGGCGTACCTGTGCTGCACATTTTGTGGATAGGGTGTTGACGACTGAAATACATTACAGCTACAGGTGTTGTGTAAAAAAAAATGGCTTATAAACACACAATACTAATATAGGAGGAATGTTGTAAACATAAATCTAACTATTTTTGAGATAAATTCCACAAAATCCATTTTATCAAGATAAATAATCACCAGACGTTTTTTTTGAGCCTACTCCAGGCACCGTGACCCTGAAGAACAGGTGTATTGTGGGGGGAAATCCCAGGCACTTAGTGATCCATACATTACATAAGTATGGACAGTAACACATCCATCTCTACTGTACGTAGTGCTTTACCTGGTACACTCCTATGTGTCAATCCAACACCTGTTTATCCTACAGTAACAGGCCATTGTGAATGCATTTCCTAATAAGGAAATATATCAATATTCAATATAATACAGCCTTAAATTAGCAATGCAATTCAACAAACACATTCACACTAACATCAAACAACCAAAATATAATTTAAAGCAAACAGTTTAATTCATTTTCCACCACAGTGCCTGCAGGAGATGGCTTGCTGTGTTATAAGAATTCCTTTTTCAAACTAAATTTGGGGAGTGATTGAAAAAGTGTAGACAAATGTTTTGCGAGTGTGGTCAGCCGTGGTTTTGTCATCGTAATGGGACTGGCTGAGGGTGGGTAAATAACTGTCTACTTGACAACTCTACCAGGAGGCTTTCCTAAGTCTCCTAACAAACCTATTGTCCATTGATTTTTATCATTGGATAGTTTCTTCAAAAGATACTCAAGTTCAACAAAGGTTTACCTGAAAATCAATTTTAAGTGGAGCGATATTTTCTTTTTTTTTATACTCAAAGTAAAGAAATTTTACTTGATCATATTAAGATTTCCTTCATAAAAAAGTACAGGTAGATACATGATTTTCCAATATTTATGATAGATAGCAGTTTACAAAGTATATCATATATGTACCAGATTCCAATGTATATATATATTCAAGTTTTTATTACAATGCAAATATAATAGATATGAATTTCTTATATAAAACTAATCTTTAAGATGATTCAATATGTTGACACAACTTGTACAATATGTAGGCTAATTGTAAACTGGTACTTTTGTTAATGTAGCTTATTGAGCCAGGACTTGATTATTAAAGACCAGCCTTGGTCATCTGCATGCTTTACTGGATCATTTACATCTGTATGGATGTCAGAGTGGACGAGTTCAGCGAAAGTGTGTCGACAGTTAGTCTGTAAATGTTTAAACTACCTGATATCAGGATAACATTTGCACATTATGTGACAAAGACTGATTACAACTTTTTACAAAATTTTGAAATCTTCAAAAAAATTACACATAATGTATTCTGAAATTAGTCTGTACTGAAATTTAAATAGAAGTGTAATCAGTATTAAGTAATACATCACAGCCTCATGTAAATCCTTTTGGAAGTGTCAGTAACTAAACACTTATATATAAAGATCTAACAAGGTAACAGTATAGATCTAACAGAGTAACAGTATAGATCTAATAGATTAACAGTATAGATCTAACAGCATAGATCTAACAGAATAGATCTAACAGTATATATCTAACAGAGTAACAGTACAGATCTAATAGAGTAACAGTATAGATCTAGATCTAACAGAGTAACAGTGTAGATCTAACAGAGTAACATTATAGATCTAACAGAGTAACCATATAGGTAATCACAGATCAGATCTGGCAGGGTAATTACATGAAATATAATATTCAATCGGTATATTTCATGTAATTACCCTGCCAGATCTGATCTGTGATTACCTATATGGTTACTCTGTTAGATCTAACAGAGTAACCATATAGATCCAACAGAGTAACAGTATAGAACTAACAGAGTAACAGTATAGGTCTAACAGAGTAACAGTATTGTTCTAACAGAGTAACAGTATTGTTCTAACAGAGTAACAGTATAGTTCTAACAGAGTAACAGTATTGTTCTAACAGAGTAACAGTATTGTTCTAACAGAGTAACAGTATAGTTCTAACAGAGTAACAGTATAGAGTAACAGTATAGATCTCATGTAAATCCTTTTGGAAGTGTCAGTAAGTAAACACTTATATATAAAGATCTAACAAGGGAACAGTATAGATCTAACAGTGTAGATCTAACAGAGTAACAGTGTAGATCTAACAGAGTAACAGTATAGACCTAACAGAGTAACAGTATATATCTAATAGAGTAACAGTATATATCTAATAGAGTAACAGTATAGATATAACAGCATAGATCTAACAGTATAGACCTAACAGTATAGATCTAACATAGTAACAGTATAGATCTAACTGTATAGATCTAATAGAGTACCAGTATAGATCTAACAGAGAAACAGTATAGATCTAACAGGGTAACAGTATAGAGTAACAGTATAGATCTCATAGAGTAACAGTATAGATCTCATGTAAATCCTTTTGGAAGTGTCAGTAACTAAACACTTATATATAAAGATCTAACAAGGTAACAGTATAGATCTAATAAAGAAAAAAAAAAAAAAAAAAAATATAAAAAAAAAAAAAAAAAAATATAAAAAAAAAAAAAAAAAATAAAAAAAAAAAAAAAAAAATATAAAAAAAAAAAAAAAAAATATAAAAAAAAAAAAAAAAAAAAGAAAAAAAAAAAAAAAAAAATATAAAAAAAAAAAAAAAAAAAGAAAAAAAAAAAAAAAAAAATAAAAAAAAAAAAAAAAAATATAAAAAAAAAAAAAAAAAAAGAATAGATCTAACAGTATATATCTAACAGAGTAACAGTACAGATCTAACAGTATAGATCTAACATAGTAACAGTATAGATCTAACAGGGTAACAGTATAGAGTAACAGTATAGATCTAACAGAGGAACAGTATAGATCTAACAGTAAAAATCTAACAGAGTAACAGTACAGATCTAATAGAGTAACAGTATATATCTAATAGAGTAACAGTATAGATATAACAGAGTAACAGTATAGGTCTAACAGAGTAACAGTATTGTTCTAACAGAGTAACAGTATATAGATCTAACAGTATAGACCTAACAGAGTAACAGTATAGTTCTAACAGAGTAACAGTATAGAACTAACAGAGTAACAGTATATATCTAACAGAGTAACAGTATTGTTCTAACAGAGTAACAGTATAGGTCTAACAGAGTAACAGTATAGTTCTAACAGAGTAACAGTATTGTTCTAACAGAGTAACAGTATAGGTCTAACAGAGTAACAGTATATATCTAACAGAGTAACAGTATATAGATCCAACAGAGTAACAGTATAGACCTAACAGTATAGATCTAACATAGTAACAGTATAGATCTAACTGTATAGATCTAATAGAGTAACAGTATATATCTAACAGAGTAACAGTACAGATCTAACAGTATAGATCTACCAGAGTAACAGTATAGATCAAATAGAGTAACAGTATAGATCTCATGTAAATCCTTTTGGAAGTGTCAGTAACTAAACACTTATATATAAAGATCTAACAGAGTAACAGAATAGATCTAACAGAGTAACATTATAGATCTAACAGAGTAATAGTATAGATCTAACAGTATAACAGTATAGATCTAACATAGTAACAGTATAGATCTAACTGTATAGATCTAATAGAGTAACATTATAGATCTAACAGAGTAATAGTATAGATCTAACAGTATAACAGTATAGATCTAACATAGTAACAGTATAGATCTAACATAGTAACAGTATAGATC